GGTAAAAATCTTGAAGACATAGGGGTAGGCACAGTTCATGAACAAAAACCAAACCGCATGTGAAACACTTCAAAGAATCAATAACTGGGATCTCACCCTACTGAAAAGCTTCTGCATATCTAAACAAATCACCAGCAGAGTAAAAAGAAAACCCACAAACTTGCAAAACATTTTAGCTGACTATCCCTCAGACAAAGGGCTTCTATCTAGAACATATAAAGAATTCAAAAATATCAGCCCCCCCAAATTCAAGACCCAATCCCAAAATGGGCAGCTGAGATGAATACACACTTCTCAGACAAAGAAATACAAATGGCAAATAAATTTATGACAAAATGTTGAACATCATTAGTCACTGAAGAAATGCAAAGTAAAACAACACTGAGATTCCACCCTACCCCAGTAAGAATGGCTAGCATTAAGAAATCAACCAGTAAAAAATACTCGTGAGGCTGTCGAGAAATAAGAACTCTTCTCCACTGCTGGTGGGAATGCAGTGGTGAAACCACTGTGGAAATCAGTTTGGAGATTCCTCAGAAAACTAGGACTAGAGGTCCCATTCAACCCAGCTATACCCCTTCTGGGTATTTTCCCAGAAGATCTAAAAACATCGTATCACAGCGATATATGTGCACCTATCCATAGCAGCACAATTTGTAATTGCTAAATTGTGGAAGCAACCCAAATGTCCATCCACTGAGGACTGGATAAGAAAGGTGTGGTACTTTTATATAATGGAATATTACTCAGCTACAAAGAAAGATAAATTCGAAGCCTTTATAGGTAAATGGTCACAACTAGAGACCATACTCACAAGTGAAATAAATCAGATCTGCATGTGCAAGCATCGCATTGTCTCACTAGTGTAAGACCTAAAAGAGTTAATAAAAACTTAGAGGTATGATAGGCCTTGTAAAATGAAAGGAAAACGCTCATTGGTAAAGGGCTACTGGTATGTAGGAAAAGAGAAGGGAAAGAAGGAGAAATTTTGTACGTATGAATATAGAGGATAGTTGACATAGTTGATCTACAGTCTTGTATTTCTTTGCTGAAAGAAACAGTTAATGAGTCCTTGACTGATCAATATTGCACGTCTGTATTTGTTTTCATGAGAAACCACTTTGAAGATATCAATATGTAATATAGCAAGCCTTGTTAATTTCCTACCACTTTGTTTGTAATCGTATTGTTCTTTTGCTATTTTGTAAAAGGTTGTCTGTCTGTTAATGTTTTCTTCTTTTTATTTTTAAAATAAAAAAAAAGAAGTTCCACCGTTTTTAAGACTGAATAACAGTCTACTGTCTGTATATACTTTTGTTTATTCATCCATCCATCAATGGACATTGTGCTGTTTTCTACCTTTTGGCCACTATGTTTAATAATCTTTATTATCTGGCAAAAAAGAGATCATAAACAGTTCAAAATATGTGTACAGAGTAACTAGAAAAAAATCAGTGTTCTATAAGGAAATGAATATTATTTTAGCAAAATTCTTTTATTTTGCATCAAATGAGCTAAAGTTACAAAATGTAGAAAATGATGGAAGAAAACTTACTATAAAGTAGGTAACATATGAAAACATGAAGCTACAGTAAATATATTCTTACACATTATTGAGACAATGCAGTTATGCTATTCCAAAGGCTACTTGTGATGCCTGGGATCACAACTGAAACAACTGAATATCCTAGCATTAAATACAAGACAGGTACCCAGTATCTCTTCACTTATGAAAATGGATGTCCATGTGCAAATGATTCTATACTTAACAGCTCATCAATCAAAGAAACACTACAGAATCAAGATCTAATTAACATTTTTGAATAGGAGAATTTTAGTTTGACAGCTGCAAACAGCCCTCCCATGTCTACACTGTTATGAGGTGCAAAACAAGGTCATTATGAAGTTACCATTTATAAAATAGTCTATTTAAGCAATGTGCTTTTGCTTCCTCTTCTATACAATAGATATAGTAAGAGCATTTTTTAAAATTTATTTATTTATTTATTTTTGGGTCAAGGTCTTCCTGTGTACTCCAGGTTGCCCCTGAACCATATAGGTCAGGCCGGCCTCAAACTCACAGGGATCCTCCTGAGTGCTGGGATTACAGGCATGCACCAGTACTCCCCGCAAGTAAGAGTAATTTTCTCCGTTAGGAGGAATAACCTCCATTTGCAATACCCAGTTTGCAGCAAACTTTCTACTGGTCAATTTCCCCACTCACATACTGCATATGTAATCTAATAATCAATGCAAAACAACTGTAAAAAGAAAACTAATCCTACAAAGACACAGAATTGTATCATGTTAATAAAAGTGCTATGTAAGAAATGATGATATGGCACAAATTAACAATTTGTGATGTAGGGTGCTGGGCATGGTGGTGCACACCTGTAATCCCAGAACTCAGAGCCTAAGACAAAAAGATCCTGAGTTTAAGGTCAGTCTAGGCTACAGTGGAAGATCCTGTCTGAAACAAACAAAAACTCAAACAAAACAAAACAAACAAAACAATCTGTAGGGAGAATTAAGGATGATGACAAGCTGGGAACTTTAAAACATAATATGGGTTGGGGATACAGTTCAGTTATAGAAAGCTTGCTTGCCTAGTACGCTCAAGAACCTGGCTTTGAACCTCCGCACTGCAAAGGAAAAAAAGAAAGAAAAACAACAACAAAATCCCATAATATGAATACCAAAGTTGTGCTAATTTGCCCACGCCCCAGGAATTCTATGATGCACATGATGAACACACACTTCTCAGTTTCATCTATCGGCAACATCCCTTCTTCTCCAGATGAATTTCTGCCCATCCTTCTTAGTATTTGTTCACATGCTACTTCTTGTAGTCTTTCCCGAGCTCCACTCCACCAGGCAAAACTCTCTTCCTTTCTCACACCAAAGCACTGAGTTGACAATGTTATGAAGAAACCCTCATACTATATTGTCTCTTTTACCAGTTCATATCCAGTACCTAGCACAGTCAAAGACACTGAAAGCTCACAAGATTTTTGATTTACTGAATAGGATTCTAGATTCTTAGGATGGGGAAGAGCCAAAATGACCAACACTTGTGTTCAGATGCAAAACCGAGGCTCAAAGACTGAGTACTTGCCAAATCATAAAGACAGGGTGGCTGTGACAGGACTGATACATAGATAGGTTTCTTTTCCCAATCAAATTCATGTGGGCAGGACTATGTGTGGCTCCACTGGTCCAATCTGGTTCGCCTAGTACAGAACTGGCATGTATACCAGATCATCAATTAAGTACAGTACTTTCTATCAAAAAAAAAAAAAACTATAAACTTTGAGAAGTAGACAAATCCCTAATTTAAAATTTCACATTGGTCATATATCAGTTCTCAGTTGTAAAAATTCTGAGAAATGAAAATAAAATGAGATTTTAAAGCAATATATTATGTGCAAGTATTATATGTGTAAGATTTAATCCTGGTTTCTATTACTAACACTTTTAAATTCAAATGTGGGCCCAGGCTGTAGGGTTTCAGAAGCCTGTCTAGAAAGAATGAATAATGAGACAATTAAAACTGCCATACCAACATCCAAAATCATTATCTGTACAGTGCAGACTATATCAAATGCCAATAAAACACAAGTGACAACTTGCCTTGGTGGAAACTAAACCCAGAATTCACATTTTGCGGAAGTTCAAGTTCATTAGCCAACGCGACACCGCGATTTGCTACCCTAAAAAGAATGACTACTTCCATCAAGTAAAACACGAGTCCCTACTAACAAACACGAAAAGAAACAAGCAGTCTCTTCTGCGACTGTCAGGATTAGCGGAAGAAAGCATGAGTTCTTCCAGCAAATTCCCGTAAGCGGATCCTTAGAACTGCCTGACAAACACTACAGCAGAAGAAAACCAAGAGGGAAAGGAAAGCAGCAACCACCAGCACCCCCTGCAAGACACTTCTCGCAAAGATAATGCGGCGGGGCCGTCCCGACACAGGTAAGCAAGCCCCGCAGTGGAAACGCACCACCTGGGCAGGACCCGGGGCCACCTCGGAGGCGGCGGCTCTTCCATGACTCTCGGGTTCCTCTCCAGGAAGGCAGATGGGTGATTCCACTCGAGAGGGAGCCGCAGACCTTCAGAGTCACCCTGAGCCTCCCGGGCGAGACTTGCCTTCGGGAAGGCGGCCTCATCTCAGACCGACGGTTGAGGCCAGGAGCCACCGCCCACCGCGGCAGGGAGCGCCCTGCTGCGGCCTCCCTCGCCCGTCCCCTATCTGCAGGCCAGGCAGGGCTGCTCTTGGCCTCGATCGCCTTGCGGGGCCCCTGTTCCGCCCGTTGCGGGACCGCTGGAAGGAAACCCGAGCTGCAAGGAGGGTCAAGCTGGGCCCGCAGGCCCCTCAGCACTCACCATGGCGACCCCCGGAGCCAGAAGCAAGGAGCACCCTCAGCGCTAGGAGCCTCCCGGGTCAGGTGACGCCCAGACGCCGGTCCCGCCCTCCTTAGCCCCGCCCTCAGTCTACAGACGGCTCCTCGATTGGCTCGTTTCTAGGGACCAAGTCTCGCGTATTTATCGGCCCTGTCACTCAACGCTAGGGCTGACGGATCTGGGGGCTCGGTAATTGCTCCATATGAGTGGTGGGGCTGGTGCAGGGCAGTGAATATTGCTGAAAGACATGCAGAAGGGAAAGGGCATATTTAAAGAGCTTGTTACAAAAGAAGGAACAGAAAGAAAGCAGTTTACCCACGTTATGTACGCCTCCGTACGTGCACTCGTGGCGCGCATGTGCAGAATAAAGACCAGGATTGGCCTGTGTGACGGTCTCAGTCCCCTGTCCCAACCAATCCAGATGCGCTGGAGGTGGGCTCTCCTCTCACTGGCCGGCCGTGCGTCTGCGCGGGGATTTCGTTCCACAGCAGCTGTTTGCGCGAGTTATTCCTGTCTGCGCCATGGTCTCAGGGCTGATCGAACGCCTCGCCTCTCGCCTGGGACTCGCCGACCCCAGTGTGCTGAGGTGAGTCTGTCGGAGCACTACCCCAACCCGGTGGGCTCTTCCTGGCGAACTGAGCCGTGCCTAGGCGTGGTCCGCGCCTTTCCTTTGCGTAGGGCCTGGCGGGGTTGCTAAGGATGCTGGCGCCGGTGAGCGCGCGGCCTCGAGGACTTCCGGCCACCCGCGCGCTTGAGAGGCCTTAGGGCGCCTGTAGGGTCCGCAGGAACGACTGGCCCTGTGGGCTGCAGGGTGGTGGGCAAAGGAGTGAGTGCCGGAGAATTTAGGTCCTTCTGCAGGCTGTCCCTGAGAGCCTGTCGGTGGGGATCCTGGCAAGAACCGTGTCGGAGTTTATGGGTGAATGGGTGGCGTGCTAGAGCCACAAAGCAGACTCGTCGCTACTTTTCTTAAAAGATCAGGAAAGGCCCAGGCGGAGGCATAACTCTGAAATCTGGTTGACAAACAGTGCCAGCCTTGGGAAGGCGTGATGAGAAGAGGGCTGTGACAGAAGCCTTGAGATGGGAAAGATCTTTGCAAGAACCGTGGTTTCCAAGTGTGGTTCCCGATCCGCAGCAGTAGTATCCTGTTGCCCTTGTTAGAAACACAGTCTTGAACTCCATCCCAGGCCTGCTAATCAGAAACTGGGAATGGGACCCAGCACCTGTTTTCACAAGCCCCCGAGGTTTTTATCCTGTACAATAAATTTGAGAACCACTGATGAAAAGAAGGTACCCTGGTTTAACCTGCTCTCTCTCTCTCTCTCTCTCACTCTCTGTTTCCACTTGATCTAGTAATGGGAGAAGGAAAGGAGGATTGTTTAGGGGGGTGCTGAACTTAATCTTGCCTGAAAGCACGTAGCTGCAGTGAGGTCCAGAGTCAGGGCAGTGGCTGTCCTGGGCACATCCCCTCCTCAAAGGATACGCACTTCATTCCCAGGCCCAAATAAATGTAGAAAGAAGTCTACTATTGGCTGTATTTATTGTTACGAAGTGTTGGGCAAACTAACATAAAAGAGTTTTAGTGAACACATTGTTCTCACACCAGGAAAGCAGAGGAATACTTGCGACTGTCTCAGGTGAAGTGTACTGGTCTGTCTGCACATACCACAGAAACTAGCAATGTCATCATGTGCTTGGACCTTGCAGCTGCCTGTATGAAGTGCCCTTTGGACAGGGTGAGTCCCGCTGAATATCCGAATAATCTAAAATTTAACCCTTACATTTTCATTTTTGGTTGGGCTAGACTCAGGCCAAAAACTCATATTCTTAGAATTTTTATGGCTAGTCTTGTGTTATTCTAGATAAATTGAAGGATGATTTTGTTCAGCCAGGTGTGGTGATGCATGCCTGTAAACCCAGAGGTAGAGGCAGGAGAATCGCTGTGAGTTTGAGGCCCGCCTGGGCTACATAAGCAAATTTGAGGCCAGCCTGCACTACACGGCAAGACCTTGTCTCAAAAACAGAATAATTTTGTCAAGTTGGAAAAAAAGTACTTCTTGCAGTGTTCTCTCTATTACCTAGTTTTCCTGTTTTTCTTCATAGAGGCCATCTTCCATACTGCTATTAGCAGTAGCTTCTTAAAGCATATACTTTAAAACCTATGTATGATTTTCTAGTATCACAATATTTAAAAAGAAGCAGCTTTAGAGTCAGGAAGAGTCACATGTTGAAGCCATATCTCAATATCATTTGCTAGGTCTGTGAGCCACCAGTTTCCTCCTCCATAAAGTAGGATAACAATGTCCATTTCACTGAGTTATGATGATTATGTAACACCCGTAACACAGGACCTGTGTCATAATAGATACACTCATTAAATGGTCTAAACATTAAAACAAAGCTGTTATCTCCCGTTAAAGTTTCCAGCCTCCCTTAAACCCTGATTTCAAACTACAGTATTTACTTGTCAGACTTCTACAGTTTAATAACTTGGCTTTAATGGTGCAACACCTGATTTTTCCAGGAATGCTCTTCTGGCAAATCTCTATTGTCTTATGTGACCCCTCCACACACACACTTTGCCATTACATCCTTTATGAAGCTCCCTTTGACTGTCCCAGACAGCTGTTTTTTCACAGTTGTTGACTTTCCTGTTTCTGTCCTTGTTTACCTGTTTTACCTTTCCTTCTCCACATACACATTTCCCCTCCACTCTTATCACTTCTCTCAGTCTTCCCTAAAATATGCCCAATGCCACAGTTGTTGAAAAACCAATAACCATGTCTGCCTCCCTCAGTATTTTTTCCTCCACACCTTAGATATTGATACTGTATAATTATTTTAAAATTGGCTGTGAACAGTATGCGTTACTGCCCTCCTATGGTGATTGCTAATTTTTATTACATGAAGCTAAATCTTTAGGCAGTGACTTGCCACCGAATTAATTTTGAAAAGTTTATACCACATATTAAGTATTTGTGTGCTAATATAGAGAATTTAAGATTTATATCTTTTTCCTTTCAAAGGCTTATTTAATTAAACTTTCTGGATTGAACAAGAAAATGTATCAGAGCTGTCTTAAATCTTTTGAGTGTTTACTGGATATGAATTCAAATATTGGGATAAAAGACCTAGCTGTACAGTTTAGCTGTACAGAAGCAGTGAACATGGCTTCAAAGATACTGCAAAGGTATGGGACTAAAGTACCTTAAATTTTATACTGTTAAAGCAGAATTATCAAGTGGTCTGTTTTGGTTAATTTCTAGTCTTAAATGTAAATAAAAACTCTTCAAAGTAAAAAGGGCTGGGGACATAGCTCAGTGTAAAAGCCCTGGGTTCAATTCCCAGTACTATACCAAAAACAAGAAAGGAAAACTGCAGATGCTAAAGTGACAAAGTACTAATCTCCTGTATTTTAAAACATTGTAGTTTTGGTTGCCTTTTCAGTCCCTTTTGAAATAATATTTTGCTTTAAAATTTTTTTTTCTGGTATGGTTTATTATTTTTGGTATACAGACTGATAGGATATGGTGTGGTAGTTTGATACATGGTGTACAGGTTTAAAGATCAAACCAGATAGTTACCATTTCCATGTTAAGCCTTTAAATTTTTTTGTTGTTGTTGTATTTTTGAGACAGGGTCTCACTATGCAGTTCAGGCTGGCCTTGAGCTCATTTTGTAGCCCAGGCTGGTCTCAAACTTGCAACGATCCTCCTGCCTCAGCCTCCCGAGTGCTGGGATTACAGGTGTGCACCACCATACCCCGCTAAAATTTTTTGATTAACAAAATAATTGTGTCTGTGGGGTGTGAGTGTCTGCTGCACTTGGGGCCCGGGGTAGAGGCACACACAAAACCAGGACACAGGGGATGCAGAGCAGCAAGAGCCAAGTTTGCAACTGCAACTGCATACTGAAGTTTATTTTGTAAGAAGTTTTATAGCATACAAGTGTAGTTTTTCAGATAACATATGAGTACATACCGAGCCAAGTAATTGTTTTTCTGACAGTCTGTTCCAGGTGTGCTCAATAAACCAAGGTCTGTTGTTATCTTATTTTTCTAAAGCATGAGAAGCAGAAAGTTGTCACACCACCACAAGACTGCTCGGGACATTTTATTTTCTACAAGGCCGGGACATTCTATTTTAATCTACAAGGCCTCTGGCTACTTTCCCATATTGTGAAAGTCTAGCCAAGCAAGTTTTCAAGGTTTTGCGAGGGGAGAACATTTTCTCCTCAAGAGGCACAGGCATTCCAGTCCTCATCTCGACCCCAAGTAACCTGCGGCTCCGGCCCACACAAAGGGAGGGCCTAGGGGCCTGAGGATCCTGTGTTTCCCACAGTGGGGGATAGTGTGATACTTCAATACAACTATATAATATGCACTGATGAAGTCAGGATAAATAATATTTCCATCCCTTATCATTACTTGGTGTTTGGAGCCTTTGAGCCCCTCTCTTCTTGTGGATTCATATAATACATATTACTGTAAATTATAGTTACCCCACTGTTCTGTGCAACACGGAAACTTCGTTTTGTGTGTGACATTTTCTTACATGTGTATAATGTATTTTAATCATATCCATGAAATAATTTTCTGACAAATGATTCTGTAAACACTGCTCATCCCTAGCTATGAGTCCAGTCTTCCCCAGACACCACAAGTAGATCTTGACTTATCCAGGCCACTTTTCACCACTGCTGCACTACTTTCAGCATGCAAGTAAGTGTTCCTTTTAATTTTCAGAAGTTTTCAGTTTCTAAATGGAGTGTTTAATTCCCAAAGAGTAATTCTAATATAGCTGATTTCAATTTGGCATATTTTCCCCTATAAATAATGTTAGAAGTGGTGGCCAAGTGGCCAGATTTCAGTTTATCTTATAATATAGCTGACAGCTTTGAACTAGTGTTGCCAGAAATGCAGTTGCCAGGTAGTGGCCATTATATGTAAGCTGGGTATTCTGACTTTAGAGTCTGCTTTTTAAAAGTGATGAAATCTGTCAGAACAGTGGTTATGTGTGATTTTTCTATCATATTTTTTTAAAAGTACTGACAGAAAATGTTCTTCAGTTAATTTATAAAACATTTCTGCAGTAAATTCTTATATCTGAATATTAAAATTGTCAAAAAAGACAAAAAGCAAAAAAAAAAAACAAAAAACTGATGTTGGGTATGGTGGTGCATGCCTATAATCCCAGCACTCAGGAGGCTGAGGCAGGAGGATGGTTGCGAGTTCAAGACCAGCCTGGGCTACAAAGTGAGCTCAAGGCCAACCTGAACTGCATAGGGAGACCCTGCCTCAAAAAAAAAAAAAAAAAAATTGTGTGTTACCTCTGTGTATACTGAATTGTTATCCTGGGAATATTTGTAGTTGTTGAAATCTTTTTCTAAAGTTGTCATCTTGCCTGAAATCTTCCGGGGATAGGGGTGGGAGATAGTTGGCCATTAAAGAATAAAGAAGTTTCTCACTACCTAGGCAATAATTTTTGGTGTGTTTGACTATGTTCACATACCTAGAGCTTATACATAGAAAATGTTTCTTTAAGTCAACAATGATACGTGTTTATAAAGAGGGAGTAAGAAAACTGCAAATGGTCAAATAGCCCCACTTTTGAAGCCATATCAGACTGAGCAAAGAGAGGTGGACAGGTCTGTTATCCTGAATAAGAAGTTTGTGATTTGTATTGGTGTTTGTTGTAGAGAGTTTGGGAATTTTTGAGGAGGTGGAAGGGTGTTAATACTCCTCTAGTATAATTATAAGCAGTATGGACTAAAGTGAGTTGAACACTTAAATGTATTGTGCTTATCATTCTACAAATTAACATCTGAGATTTACTAAAAAGAGTTTTAAAAGGTATGAAGCTCTACAGCAAATGTAGTTTACCTGCCCCATTTGTTACAAAATAGATCCCATGTATATTTTAGCTTCCAATCTAATACATAACTAAATAAAGACCTTAAAAAGGCAAATTCTCATGGTTCTAACTAATGAAATAAATGTGGAATAAAGGAAAACTAGATAACTGCGGACTCTTGATAAAGCATGGAGGAAGAGGAAGTAAGTTTATAATCTGGTTGGCCAAGGAAGAAAACTACTGGTCCTCAAAAAACAATGTTTGAAATTCTTTTGTAGGATTCTAAAACTAAAAGTGGATAAAAACAAAATGGTAGCAATGGCTGGTGTGAAAAAATCCATATTTGACCGACTGTGTAAACAGTTAGAGAAGACTGGACAGCAGATTGACAGTGAGTATTCTGTAGTTCAAGAAAATGTAGACTTGCTGGCAGAAGTCAGATGCTTTCAACTTGCATACTGGCTGAGTTCTGTATTTAATGTGGGCCAGATTTTAGTGAGAAAAACTGATTTTTCTATTTTCAAATAAAGTAGGAACTTTCTAGAAACCTATGATTCCATGAATACATGACTAGAAAATAGATTCTCTGTTAGTGTGCTGTGATGTTAAATGCCAATCTCCATATATATAAGCTAGGAGAGAAGTGATATTCAAGTTTGACAACAGAAGCAACAAGAAAAGGAAAGGGCAAGGTCATTTGTCTTTTCTTTGTCCTAGTCTTTGGCCCATCAAGATAACTAATGTTTGTTTATGAACTAAAATATGGCCTAATACTAAAATGGAGAAGAGGAGAAAAATTAACCCACTAATACTTTTTTCTTTTCTTAAAGAAGAAGGTAGAGATTTAGCTAGGCCTCTGCGGAAGAAAAAGCGTACAGTGATTGAATCACTAGCAGAGGGTAAGTCTTACTAACACTGTACTGAGACTGATCTTGAAATTAGTACAATGTGATTAATGCAGTGAATAGTCCTGTGCTATTCTAGCAGCTGACTTGACAAGAGCAGCCTTGAAGTAAATCCTGACCATGAATCATTTGCTAAGACCAATATTCTAAGCAATGATGAGTGGAAATAACAGAAGTATTGTGTAATTCAGAATACATCTGAAGCCAAAGAGCCTGAGTACAAGTCTACCACAGTTAAAAGCTTTAGACAAAGCAAAGTTTCTAACAGAATTTGAACAAAGAATGACTCATGAATTGGGCAGCACTCAAATCAGAAAGAGACTCAGATTGCTCAAAGAGACTCAGTTTTTATAAACTGAACCTAGAAACAAAGTAGAGAAATGCCTTTATGGACTGTGGCTGTGCATTTGCTGTATTTGGGCATGCCGTGATGGGGGGGTCTCTTATTGTGACTGGCTGAAGCTTGTTTTGTTTCGTTTTCTTCTTTGGAACAAAAATGTTTTCTGGTTAAGTTCTTATTTGTTTACATAGGAGCTCCATCTACAAAGACAATCTGGCTGGTGGCCTTTTTATTGAGTTTAACACCACTTATTGGCTATGTGAGTTTAAGAAAGTCACAGAGTCTCTGTGAGATTTGCTACTCTATAAAATACAATATTAGCACTCACTTCATTAGTAAGGGTTGAATGAGATAGTTTGGTAAGTGTTTGGCTCAGTGCCCATCAAGCACAAAGTAAGTGTTTGATAAATTTTAACTGATTGTGTTGGACTGCTAGGAGTGTAAGGAGGAGAAAAATGAGAGTTGCCATTTTATTTCAGTATCTTACTCCCTACTGCCTTAACTGCAGTAGATACTTTGTACAAGTTTACTTTTAATTTATTTCTAAACGTAAGAATTTTGAAATTACTTTTTGATTTTTTTCTCACAGAAATAAAGAAAGTAGAAGAAATCCCACATAAACGACAGAAAGATGAAGATGTGACACAGGATTATGAAGAATGGAAAAGGAAAATTTTGGAAAATGCTACCAGTGCTCAAAAGACTACAGCAGAGTGATTTTAATTTCCAGCCTGAGATGTACTGCAAACCTATATTTACTGCTACCTCCAGCAAGGATTGAGGGCTTTGGGCTTTGTTTGAACTTTTATGCCAAGGTTTCTGTTGCTTTAATAGCAAAGAAGCCATTATTAGAGCTGAGTAATGGGCAGTGGGCTGCCCTGGCATAAGCAACATTAGATCAGCTGCAGTGCCTCACACATCAGATCCCTGTAGGGCAGGCTGTCTTATAACAGGAAACGGCAGCCACTTTGCATTTCTGTTGTGTCTTATGCTATAGGCAGTCTTCTGTCCCATCTAGAATGTAAGATTTTACTTAAGTTTTTGGTAATTGTTTTGATTTGACTAAGTATTTTGTACAACCTAAATTAATAAATGTTATTTTTTTGTGCATTCAGGTTGCAGTTGTCATCAGTTTAAAGGAATCCTTGTTGGACCGGTATCTGTCTACTCTGGCAGGAAGAACAGCCCAACTTCCTGTACAGTAGTCCTCACTGCTCACCAGAGCTGACTTGACTCAGATTTTCTGGGCTTTAAACCCTGTTCAGCCACACCTGTGAAACAAACTGATTAGCTTCTTTATGCCTCACTCATAAAGTAGGAATAAAAATGGTGATACCTCTTGGAATAATTTGGAGGTATACTAGAGCCAATACACATAGTGTTTAGTACAGTAACTGCTATAAGTATTTAATATAATTAGGTAAGTTATACTTAAATTTTGTAGTAAATACTAGATTAAAAGAGCAGTTAACTGTGGAAAAGGACCTTTATGATTAGGGGCATCATACCAAGTTGTTAGGATCATCATACCAAGACATGACTTTGTCTAAAGAACACATGATCTAGCTAGGCCTGATGATGTACACCTATAAACTCGGCAATCTGGGAGGTTGAGGTGGGAGGATCTTAAGTTCTAGTCCAGTGTGGGCAATTTAGAGACTTAGTGATACCCTGTCTCAACAGATAGGCAGGAAAGGGATATATAGCTCAGTGCAAAGGTCCTAGATTCAATCCTCAGTACCAAATAAGATGTAATTAAATTTTTCCATGATGAAGTGATTGTACCAATCTATTCAGAATGGCATCAATACCTACTACGTGGATGTGGAGTGACAATGATTCTTTTCTCCCTTGCTCTTTTTTTTTTTTTTTTTTTTTGTGAGAGATCTCAGTCTGTAGTCCAGGCTAATCTTGAAATCAAAAACTCAAGCAGTTTTCCTACCTGAGTAGCTGGGACTGTAGGTATGTGCCACCCTGCCTGGCTTTCCTGGCCCTTTTTACCTGTCAAACTTTAGCAGATTGAAACTTGGGAAATAACACAATCTAATTATCCCAAGATAGAAATAGCATCTAACAATAGCCATTTCTCCCTTAAAAACAGATCAAGACTTACCTGAGCTTCAGTTTCTCCATTTATAAAATAGATCCATGTGTCTTGTGAGAATTAAAGGTAATACATATAAAATGTATGGTATTTGGAAGGCATTCACTAAATACTAGCTGTTAACCACTACAATCTAAAATGAGTAAGTGAATATTCCTCATTCAGGAAGATCCAGTTTTTAATTTGGTGGCAAGTTTAGATTTTTAGATTTGAGTCAAAAAGTAATATGCTTTTATCACATAAAATTAAGTACATACATTTTAAAAAGTATGTATATATATAAAATTTCCAGTTTTACAAGTGTATGGTTAAGTTGTTACATTGTTTTGCATACAGGCTCCAGAATTTTTTCATCTTGCAAAACTGACTATCCATTCCTCCCTCCCCTGGGCTCCTGGCAGCTAACATTTTTTCTGTCCCATACTTCAAATAAGTGAAATAGTATTTGGGACTGATTTATTTCCTTAGTATAATGTCCTCAAGTTTCATCCATGTTGTAGCTTGAGTCAAAATCTTCCTTTTCAAGATTAATATTCCACTGTATCAAAACCACTTTTAGAATATATTTATCCTTTGATGGGACACTTGGGTTGCTTCCCTCTCTTAGCTACTGTGAGTAATGCTGCTGCAAACATGGGTGTACAGATATTTATTGGAGACCCTGCTTTCCAATTTTGGGGGTTATATACCTGGATGTGGTATTACTGTGTCATATAGTAAATTAAAACTTTTTGAGGAACAAACCATAGTGTGTACATTATATTCCCACTAATAGTTACAAGTGTTCCAGTTTCTCCTTACTCTTGCCAGTGCTTATTTTCTGTTGGGTTTGGTTGGGTGTTTGGGTTGTTGGTTTTTAAGTAGCCACCCTAATGGATGCGAGGTTAACACTTATTGTGGTTTTTGTCTTTCCCCAGTGACTAATGATGTCAAACATCTGTACTTACTGGCTGTTGTCAAATTTTTTTGCAGAAATGTACTAAAACCTTTTGCACTTTTTTGAATTGGCTTGTTTTTTGTGGTTGAATTGTTCTTTATATATTGTAGATATTAACCGTTATCAAGTATACACTTGGAGAATATTTTCTTCCATTGATCAGGTTGCTTTTTACTCTGCTGACTGTATATTCATGCACAGTTTTTAGTTTTGATGTAGTCCATTTGATGTACTTTCACTGTTTTGCCTGTACTTTTGCTTTCATGTCGAAGAAATCCACTGTCAGGAAGCCTTCCCTCTCTATTTTAAAAGTTTTATAATATTAACTCTTACATTTAGGGCTTTCATCCATTTTAAATTAAAGACATTCACTTGGAAGATTTGGTTAAATCTGCTGTTTCTGGGCCTTATTTTTATAAGTACAGTTTTTGATCACATTCAGCTCATTACTCATTCCATCTGTTTCAGTACTGCTTTTATTGTTTTTTAAAAAAACTTTTTGGAAGCTTAGTTCTGTTACCAAAGGTGAAATTTAAAATTAAAATCCCCAAGTGTCTCTAATATATCTTTTTCCTGTTTGCTCAAGTCAGGGTCCACACTTGATATTGTTTTACTAATTTTTTTATTATAAAATCACTACATGCTTGTTAAAAACAAATTCAAGTGGTTCAGAAAGTTATGAAAAGTAGAATTCCCTCTCCCAAGCATAAGAATTTCCCCTCCTAATCACTCACTTTTCACACCCTACTTTTTAAGTTTCTTGCATATCCAGTAACTTTTTAATGCACATATAAGCATGTGTCTCAGATCTGAGTGGATGATACCATATATGTGTTCTATAATTTTTAAACGAAAAGATGGCTCTCAGTACATCTAGATCTATCTTTAACATCTGTGAGTTATTCCGCTGTAAGGATGTGGCAAAGCACTTAACTCACACAGGCAGGCACGTGTTGTTTCCATTTGATCACTAGCAACAGTGCTACAATGAACACTGCATAAATTTCTGTATACATGTTTAAGTGCTGAGTGATAATGTCTAGAAGTGGAATTGCTGCATGGTGGGCATAACATTTAGATACCTATCCATCAGAAATAGGAATATACTGTTTTCCGCACACCTCTATCTTAACTCTAGCCATCTGGTCAGTGAATAAAGTGGGCCCTGACTATCTTTTAGGGTTTCTTACCTAACAGTTTTCAGTCACTATTGTTCTTATCAAATGAAGAGAAGTCCCATATAAGTAGTTAATACCATCACGGTTGTAATCTAAAATTTTGGGAGCCAAGTACACACTAGCAAATTAGAGAACTAAAAATATCCAGGAACCTCAAGCTTCAAAAAAGCTCCTCTTTAGGTCAGGTTTGTTCATTTGATTTTTGTTTGTTTTGCTTTTGTTTAGTATTGGTTTTGGTTTTGGAGAAAGGGTCTTGCTACATAGTTAAGGCTGGCCTTGAACTAACTGTAGCCCAGGGTGGCCTCAAACTCCCGACGATCCTTTTGCCTCAGTCTGCTGAGTGCTGGGATTATAGGCCTGTGCCACCACTACACCCAGCTCTTAATTTCAGTTAAGGGTGACATGGGAAAGAAAACTAAACCAATGCCATTTTATTTTATTTTATTTTGTTTGTTTGTTTTTTGTCTTTTTGAGACAGGTTCTCGCTATGCAGTTCAGGCCGATCTTGAGCTCACTTTGTAGCCCAGCCTGGCCTCGAACTCACAAGGATCGTCCTGCCTCAGCCTCCCGTGTGCTGGGATTACAGGTGTGCGCCACCACGCCCGGCTTCTCTAGTGCCATTTTAAAGCTTAAGTTTCTGTTTCCTTAAGTTTGTTTCTTGTAAATGTTGTCATAGTTACCTAACCCGATACCACCCCATGCTCTGTCATAAGACTGCATGTCCCCTATGTAAAATGTCAAACACCTTTGTTTATCACAAGCTAAGCCCATGCTTTGTAGTATTTCTGTAGTTGCACTAAATCATATCAGCACCACCTCCCCTAGACCTGGAACTGGAAATGTATGACTATTCTTCCCTCCTGCCCTTCAGGGTCGTGCTCGGTCACGTACTGGGTGCCCACCACTGGCCCCCAATAAACTTGCTTGTCTCTGCATCCAACCTCCACCAGTGACTCAATTAAATAAGCACCTCTGCCTCAACAAGGGAGTCTAAAATCCACCTTACCTCTCACTTGTGTGGGCCTTCCTAAACATACCTCTTAGAGAAGCTTTGGAAAGAAATGGTTGCTTAAGGTAACAACAGCATAAGGAGAAAAAAATTAATTAAAATTTGGTAGATACGGTACAGGATTCTACATTTGCCCTGTTGAATAGACACCACTAAATGTGGCTATTAAACACTTAAAATGTGACTAATGCAACTACAGAACTGAGTTTCTAACTTTATTAAATGTAAAAACAGGTACTTAATTAAATTATTGGGCTTAAGTATGTTTATCTTTAGTACATACATATTTTCCATAGTAAATTTTATGAAATCCAAATACAAATTATTTCCACTGAAAACTTAGCATCTAAATGAACATACATTGCAAGTATAAATTACATACCAGGTTTTAGAGCCTTAGTATGAAAAATGTTCATAATTTTATGTTGACTACATATTGAAATGTTTTTGATATATTGGATTAAATAAATTATTTCAGTTAATTCCAGTGAGTACTTTTAAAGGAGCTACTAGAAAATTTTAAATTATAAATGTGGCTCATAGTTCTCCAAACAGTGCTGCTCTCGAGCAAGGTAACTACATTTTTCTGAGAGGAAGATCATAGCATTCCACAAAGACCTCAAACCCCAAACAGAATAAGGACTACCACACTAGCTGGAATTGCAAAATAACCTCTCTTGCTGCCCCCAAAAACCTTTGCCATATGGAGGGAGGCACATCTGTAATCCCAGAACTCTGGGAAGCTGAGGCAGGAGGATTCCAAGTTTGAGCCCAGACTGGCCAATTTAGCAACTTAGCAAGACCCTGCCTCAAAATAAAAGGCTGGGGATGTGTGCACAGGCCATGTTTCAATCCTTGGTATTATTTTTTTTTTAAAGCACATTTTCATAAAGGTAATTGAAACTTAAAAAGTAAAACCAAATCACCGTTACTGTCTCATTAAAAGCAGCTTCAAGCACCATCTCTTGGTATGTTTATTTATTAGTTGGCCAATTTGGAGCAGGCCTAGACATGCTGATACAGAAAAGCTTAGCTCCTTGACAAGAGTGAGCTTTCCAAAGCAAAGTTACAACCCAAGAAAGTCTTTATTCTGGTGAAGGGAAAATCCTGAAAGGCTGTGAAACTGTTGAATGTCTAATTAAAAACTAAGGCACTACACCAACTAAAACAGCTGATTGGAGAAGGTAGTGGAAGTGAACTGGGTGTGGTGGTGCATGTGTGTAAACCTAGCACTCAGAAGCTGAGCCAGGAGGATCACTATAAATTGGAGGCCCACCTGGGGTACAAAGTGAGCTCAAGACCAGCCTGAACTATATAGTGAGACTCTGTCTCGAAAAAACAAAAACATCAACAGAAGTGAAGAAATTTTAAAGTGTTAGCTTTTAAATAATAAAGGATTCCTTTAATAAAGGGGTAAAGTGCTGAAATGAGCCAGGCATGGTGGCAGGAGGTTTGCCACAACAAAGCCAGCACGGGCTACATAATGTAGTGAAATGCTTTCTAAAAAAAACATGCTGAAATGTACACATGCAGAGTTTGTGAATGTTTTAGTTGCTCACCACATTGAGAAGAATGTTATCTCAGTGAATGGGTGATATGACTTGTAATCCAGGTAGTAAAGATTTTACATACACCAGTATATAAGAAGTACATATTTAGGGGTTGGGGATTTAGCTCAGTGTTCAGAGTGCCTGCCTGGCAAGCGCAAGGTTGTGAGTTTGATTCCTGGTACCGGAAGAAAAACAAACAAACAAAAAAGTATATATTTAAAAATCACAACACTGAAAGTCATATATCTTTAATAAAGTAGTAGAAGAGCACTTCTTTATTGCTTCATACTGTATCATTTTTGTGTTTCTCTCAGAAAGGTGAACATCATTGCATTCTTATCTCACTTCATATCTTGCATATCAATTTCCAGGCTTACAAGACCAGAAGTTCATAATCAAAAAATGAGGGTCAAGACCGCAGAGGTAGGAGAGAGAATGAAGGTGGGTATAGAATTTAAAAACACATTCAAAACTTTCAGATTTAATCACTTTTTGGCCTTTTGTCTAGCATCAAGTGAAAAATTTTCAGATTTAGTCACGATTGATATATTTTGAAATTTTACACAAAATTAAAGGAAGTGTGTTGGTGTTGATTCTTAAGAAAATATAAGTTAAACAAGTTGGGAGAGATCACTGTCTAAATCCATACAGCTTGACACTAGAGTAGAAAAGTACAAGATTTTCTCACACATAAGCAGATCAAAATTCTAGGAATTCTTTGCAGTGGAACATTTGCACTGGAAGAGGTAATTGTGAGAAACATGCCCTTGCATAATAGCTAAGTTTCAAATTTAAATTTGACATATCCAAAGTAGGGCCTTTACTACTTACCTAAGCATGCCTACATTTTAATACTTGAAAAGTAAACACAGCGTTTCAAACTTAGTGATCCTATAGGGGGAAAAAGTTTCTAAAATGCTTTCTTCACAGTCAAAAGGAAAGCAACAGTCAACTTTATTTTCTTTTTACAAAATTAGAAGAATTAATACTAAAATAACATTATTTAAAATCTTGAGTCATCTCTTCAGATCAATAATGGCGTCAGTAATTTCTGGGCAGAAGGGTTGATTATTAAGGAGAAATTGGAAATTTCCTTAACCTATTGGCAGCAGTCACCACGTAGAAATGTTTCTTGAGATAGGAGAAAGAAAAGAAAAAGCATACTTTTAGAGCTTTAAAAATAAAGTGAAAGGAATCTAGCCACTTGAGTTTGTTTAAAATTGGTAATCTAAAGAAGAAAATAAGTTTCTAGAATAATTACAGTAGAACAGTCCTGTGACCTTGAGGGATGTTTGGAGTGTGACAAGAAGGTAAGATATATATA